AAGGTAGCAATGGACATCTCCCCGAGCTGGAGTTCCACAAGAAAATTAATTTCATACAATATTTTTTGCGGAGAATGAGATAATAGTGCCTTCGGATCCCAGAGTTTACCACTACTGCAATAGAAATAGCAGTCACATCCGAACATGTATAAAACGCTTTGACTCCCGAAAACAAAATAGAATATTGGGAACAAGTTTCATAAAAACCCTGCTCCTTCAGGCCTTCATCCTCTCTCCGAGGCCATCAGTATGATCCAGTTTATGAACAAATCGGCCAAGAAAACTACCTGGAGCCGAACAGCGTTCGAATGCGATCCAACCAGGCTCTGAACATTGATCAAGACAAAAAAGGTGGGAATTGTTGAGCACACTCGGCTCTGTTGACTTTCCGTTTCTTCTCGCGCTTTGATAAACTCACATAAGTTCCAGCTCTGCTACCTACACAACCGCTACCTGGATCATCGCAGTCCATTCCGACCACTCACCAAAAAACTACCGTAATCGACGATGTGGTGAGAGGCTCCTCTTTAGTGGACGTACACAAAGAAGGGGGTACTCAGACTGATCCGACGACCTCATCCAACCGCACTGTCGAAGAAAAGCGAACGACCGAGCTTTTCCGCCGATTTCCAGCAAGAAATGAGATGGAGCTGACTGTAAGTGGCGTTTCAAATAGATGTTGCGATCTGCTGCTTCATCTTCTTCCCACATTTTCCCTAGAACTTATTTAACCCATTACACTAAATCGTATCAGTTCTCCCAGAAGAGCTTCTTGTGTGGCAGATGTTAGCGTGGAACGAAAGTTGTATATTTTTTCAGCCTCCTACTCCAGCGGCTAAACCGACCACTCCTAGTCGAGTCGACAAGCCACCACTATCTATAAGAGAGTTTGGAGTTTCATTGACGCCTAAAAAGGGCTATTGCGACATCGAAACAACGTTCGACAGTGCTGGTCCTTCAAGCAAGAGTGTCAGCTCGTCCAACCACATCAAGTACAGTGAGCTAGAGAAAGGACCAGATGTTCGTAGACCCATCCCTCCCACACCAATCAAGTACGTCTCAGTAGAGCGAAGCAGCGTGGAAAGACTTCGGGAGCTTGCAGGGCGACCAAGTACCTCCATAGGTGGGTTCAATGCGATATTTATTCTTGTTCTCTGTATATACTGAAGTGCTAATACCATGGGCAAAAGGAAAGGAGTAACGTGTTTATTTCATAGTGATCTAGAAAGCATTGAATTTTCGATTGGTAATGAAGAGACGTAAGCAAACCAGCCCTTTTGGCGCATTCGGCTGGGACCGTATGCTGAATGTTGGGGAGGGGATGGTGTCCCCGACGGTGGACGGACAACTTCAACGCGGTCCTTAGAACCGCCACAATTTGGCGCTTACCTTAGAACTAAGCCTTAAAGAGAGGACGGGTCCGTCCCCTCTCCTAGGCTTAGTCCAAGGGTGAGCAGACCGGTCCTTCTGGCGAAGCTACTGGACCAGCTGCACCACTTGCGTCAGTACTCTCCTATCGTACCAACCGAGTTGAAGTAAACCGTCGACCGTTGGGGACCCCATCCCCCCCCCCCCCCCCCCCCCCCCCCCCCCCCCCCCCCCCCCCCCCCCCCCCCCCCCCCCCCCCCCCCCCCCCCCCCCCCCCCCCCCCCCCCCCCCCCCCCCCCCCCCCCCCCCCCCCCCCCCCCCCCCCCCCCCCCCCCCCCCCCCCCCCCCCCCCCCCCCCCCCCCCCCCCCCCCCCCCCCCCCCCCCCCCCCCCCCCCCCCCCCCCCCCCCCCCCCCCCCCCCCCCCCCCCCCCCCCCCCCCCCCCCCCCCCCCCCCCCCCCCCCCCCCCCCCCCCCCGCCCCCCCGCCCCCCCCCCCCCCCCCCCCCCCCGCCCCCCCCCCGCCCGCCCGCCCCCCGGCACACATTCAGCAATAGCGTCGCCAGCCGATGTGCAAAAGGGTGGTTTGCTTACGTCTAATGAAGATAGTCCTTTAGATGAACGCGTCCCGTTGCACACACAATGTGATGACCGTCCAAGAACGTCAAGCAGTAACGATTCGTTTGATGTACTACGACTTGCGAAAGCTGGAATAGCCATTAACACTTTCGGCGACCGCTCAAAACAACGGTTTGTTCTCATGTATGACTGAAAGAATCATCGTTCATTTCTTATCCACCCTTTCGGTTTGGTGCAGCAGGCAGGTGTCAATGACTAGCAATAGCATAGCGTAAATTGCACTGGATTGATGCAATAACCATTTGGGACGAGTAAGTACCTTCCGTGAGTGTGTTACTAATCATTAGAATGAGTTGTTTTACGACCTTAGCCGTTCATAAAAGGAACTACTATAGTACAGTACAGAACGAAAATAACAGACCATGTGACGACCCATGGAATTGCTAATAGGCTATGTTACTTTGTCCAACTCGCCTCCTTAAAGGCAAAAGTCGGGCTCAATAAGGGGTATTATGGCGATTGAAACTGAGTATAGAGATGCGAAGTAGAACGACAGTGGAGAAAAAACTGAGAAAAACCGTCGACAAGGCCGTTAACAAAACCCTCTTTCCCACTAGCAGTGAAGGAGGCTGGCTTGGGGAAAGAGGCACGTACAAACAAGTTTTCTGGAGAAGATAGTCAGTACGTTCTATCGGTTGATACGGCAAGACGAGTGGCGGAAGCGGCTAGCTGAGTTTCACACGTGTTGGCAGCCATGGCGGCCACAAGGTGGGCGTCGTACACGGGGCCAGGCGACGATAGCGCATAGTACATGCCCTGGGGCCTTATTACTGCGCCGTTTCGGGGTTTGAGTGTGGGAACATCTCTACGGGTGCGTAGCCAAGTACAGGCATGACCGAAAGGGTTGGGTTGGTCAACTAATCCCGACCTTTGCCTTTGAGTTTCTGCAGACTAGTGTATAAAATCTTGAGATGAAATATGCCTGAGCAAGTGCTAGAGCTTAGACAGCTCAGAGATTTCAGCAGCTGCAAATTTTCATCGATCCAATCACGCAAGGGTGAAGCAGTGAACGACAAGCGACCACTGTAGCTTGAGGCTTCAGCTAAGGCATATAAAAGTTTTATCAATCTCTTCGACTGCTCATAAACGGAAAGCTCCGCAACGTCCTGCGATGGCTACCTATTGTCAACTCGTTTTAAAGGCACCAAATAGGGGGATGATGCAGTTGCTAACGCTACTATAACCTGTGTTTTTTAAGGGCACTGCGCATTCCCTGAAGAAGTGTCCCTTTCATAGGTGGACGTGGATTATGAGATTTCATGCTCTGTTATGTTCTCTATGCGGTGAACAGAAAGTTCCGAAAACCACTTTCAAGTTTCACAAGAATGCTGGGTTGTGAACAAAACTTTCGCCCCAGGCGGGACTAGAACCCGCACCTCTCGCTTTCCGGGCAAGTGCGCTACCAGTTACGCTACCGGGGCACCATTTCATTCCAACTCAGCTTTTCATGGTATACGTACCATAGCTTTCAGCACTCACACGTCTAACGTGTGAAACATTCGCAACGCGAACTGCGGCGTTAAAACAGCAGTTAACAAACAAAACAAGTCAAACTCTTCTAAAATTTTCTTTTTTTCTGAAAAATTCATAGGTAACATTTATGACTAAACAAATGGTAGAGCATTCTCGAGGCTTCAATCCACGAGGTGGATATAAGTGCTGCAGTCAGTAGTTATCCAAGAAAATTCAAAAAACCTCGACCACTGTAAATCCATACTCCGAGTCACTGTCTAGTACAAATGTCTCCATAACTATGGATTCGTGTCAAAGACCAACACTATCTGCAATAGCTTCAATAGGCATGTCGTTCACCGCTACAGCGTGTTTCACCTTTACCAGCGCTTCCGATCTTTTGATATTTTTATAAGAAGCCAGCAGCGTCCCTCACACTCCATTACAGGTAGGGCTCTTACAGAAGCTCCACTACAAATTCTTCGTTAATGGGCACCATTGTGTAGGTAGAGGTTATGTGGTAGGTGGCAAGAACTTCAGAAGTTGGTCCGAGGCAGGTCGTTGGATAGCTTCCGTAGCCGCCGACGATTTATTCCTGCCCAATAAATGTGATAGTGGTTTGTTCTAAACACTGCGAGTGTAGTCCACTAACAGCAGGACTGCATCTTCTTCCTCGTAACAGGTAATAAGTGTTTAGTTGATGAAGCCTTCGGTGAGATGCGCCTTCACATTTCCTCTTCGCTTAGGAACATTGTGGCACTTGTTATATGTGAGAGCTTGGTGAAGACCTTCTACCAAGGCCAAGTATAATATTAGGTTTGAGCGGGAATCACCAGCCGTTTTCACTACACACATAAGTTCTTTAACAAAACTAAACAAAAACAACAACAAATGACTAATCGACAAAGCAGTCCATACATCCCTTTCTGCAACCCGCGCCTTCACCTAAGGCCACGAGCAGCATTCGGTTTCAGGTCCAGTATGTGTTCAGTTAGCATAAGCGATACTTTCTGTCCTCGTGTAGCTTCAAAGTGAAGCAAATGCGCAGTGCTGTACACCAAAATGTACAGCGGATGGCACGCTCTTAAAACGCTTCATAATCATTTGAAAAAAATCAGCGAAAAATCAAAGCTATGAGCCTGAACAAAAAATGAAAATTTCCGTTTAGCCTGATAATAGCTTAACAGCTGTGGTATAAAACGCAATGACAAGTGATTGTGAAACTTACGGTTCGCTCCTTACGGGTTCCGTTGGCAGATAAGTCGCACTCACAATGAGGCACAGGAGGGACATGTGATGGCTACGTTTTTTTGAGCGCGCACGACAGCGCCCAAGTCTGACTGCTTTCCTCCACCCTTCCAAGAAGCTCCCATTGCCATATTTGTGTATACGGCTCGCTAGGAAGGGTTGTGAGAGCAGCGTCCCCACCGTATACGCATCACCATCGAGAGTTTGCCACGCACGCTCACAGCTAAGCATGGCTTCGTGCGGGAAAGTTTAAATATTATCGTGTCACTACGAGCGAGAATCTGCGAACCAAGCGTGCCCTGCGCTCCACCTTGCTCGTCAGCCGTCTAGCTATATACGACAAGGCAAACTCTATAGAATCAAACGACAATTACCTCACTCTCCTTACCTTCCACATTATGAGAAGGAAGTTGGATTGTCTGGGGCTTCTCTTGTGGTTAGAGCATTGCTTGTAAAAGAAACCCGAACTTCAAGGCTGCAGTTACCTGTTTCGATTGATTTACTAGTAGCTTTGTACTGGATCGGTGAATAAATGATTCAATGATTCCTCGTGCTGGAAAACTACGAAACTCTATCAACAGAAGCCATGCTCCCTACTCCACTATGGGCAGCGTTGACAGTGTAACATTTATATTTCAGGGATATTTTACTAAATCCTGAACGCATCGACGCTTTGTAAAGTATTTCTGCTTCCCGAATTTTATTTATGCATTCCTTTAAATAGTGCTTCAGTCTTCCCTGAATCTTTTTGTTCCAGCTCGATAACAAATCTGACGTTCCTGCCTCAGTCAAAGACTGGTGCATCAGAAGTGTTCGAGCGACCAGATTCCATGACGCTTGAGACCTCGTCCGTGGTCTCGCCGATACCACGTAAACCTGCCCAATCTCTGCAGCAAATGGTGCATCGGAAGTTGCTCAACGTTATGCCGGACGAGGTTCGTCCCTGACGGTTTTCCTTCAGAATGGTAACACTATCCTGAGCTGCTCGCCTTTTACAGGTAGATCGGTCCGTGGGCTCGTCAACTATGATCGAGAACGAGACCATGCCAGATGGTACGGATTCCTATGTCAGAGACGCAGAGATTCGGTTGAATTTGTTTATGAATGACACTGTCAAAGACGAAACTACGGTTTGAGGAAAAAATTAATAAAATATGCTTTGAAGTGTTTCCTCAGAATGAACGGTGAACTTAATGAAAGAACAGACGAGCGATTTGGAATGTGCATTTGAATAGACGAACATTTGCAGCTGTCAGTTATTAGCAGACAGGACCCGGGAAATATAGACTCAGTAATAAACCACAACGTGTTAAATCCTTACCAACAGGGATCACCATCTTGTGTTGCGCAAAATACATGGTTAAGGCTCTAATCGTTACGAACTTGCAATAATCGCAACTATTGTTACCCACCGCCCGGCTCATTATTGAGTGCTCTTACACATCAATTTCATCCATCAATTTTAGAAGGCAGCGGTTACGATAAATTCAAGAAGGGTTTAGTGTGACGTGGTGGTGCTCAATTGGTACGCCAGTAGCGAAAAAAGCAGAAAATCCGTCAAGAAAACGCAAAACGGGACCCCTTTTTTGGCCATTGGTTTTCACTCATGAACAGGTAACAGCTTAAAGAAAGTGAACGTATGAACGAGTTCACCGCAACGCACTCGATGGCACCATGCCAGAGTTTCGCTCGAGATGCTGCATTGAACGCGCTTACTGGGTCAGCTAGCTCGTCAGATCAGCAGTTTGCGCCAATTTGCGAGCGATCGCTTTTGTGGGCGGAGCGCTTTCGAACTCCTGCACAGTAACCAGCGCACCTTTCGTGTGAGAGCGCCTTATCTCAATTCCCTGCCAACCAAGTAACTGATGATGTGGTGCGATGCTTCCCCGATGCGCTCTCTCTTTATCGCAATCAACTTCCTGTGGTGGTCCGGTGAATGCGATCCTGACATTACCCTTTGACGACCGTATGGCCCGCCGGCGCATCGGCGACAACTCTGCATTTCCTCCCTTTAGCCCTTTTGAATACGAAGTTATGGCGACATCTTCTTGTATTTCCTCCCTTTTGACATTTTTGGAAATTTTCAATTACTAAATATGTACACAACACCCTAACAAGCTATGTACACAGTGGTCCACGGATTGCTTTCTTCTAAGGAGAAACCAAAAAGGAATAGGAACAGAAACCACTTCTAATGCTAATATTAGCAAAAATATGATCATTCCAACAGAATAAGAACACAGCACAGGTGGTGATTTTTTAAAACCGGCGCAGTAACCTTGTGCCAACTGTTGCCACAATAATGATATTCCTTGTATGATTCAGTCGATAGGACCCTAGTCAATTTTTTTGAATGTTTTGAGTAAGAAAACGAGTTGTTTTCAGTAGCTGCTACTTCAACAGTACCATCAACATTACACCACAAAAACACTTAAGAATTCTGAGGTCTTTCCATTGGTTTTTTTCATTACTTTGCTGATCTTTCATCTGGTTAAGAATTCTGAGGTCTTTTCATTAGTGCTTTTTCACTTCTTTTCTGATATTTCATCTGCGATAGAATGTATGGTTGATTATTACGATGATTTATTGAAGAAAGTTTGCAGTTTGGTCAATATTGCTATAATTATAATATAATATTGCTATATTATATTATAATTATTTGTATAAGCAAAAATGCGGTCTCCTGGGACCGCATGGCCCGCCGGCGGGCCACATGCGTGTCTGGCGTGCGGTCCCACACGCTAGACACGTTTAGAGCGCGCGGTCGTCAAAGGGTTAAAGAGTTGACGGATTATAGATGAGCTCAAGGTAAGCAGCTAATGTTAATCTGAGTAAGTAAGAAACCCTAAACTGAATAAAAATGCAGTACCGCGACTATGTATTGTGATAAAACGATATATGTATTGTGATGTATATCGAAACTGCAGCAATGAGTAAACCATCGTCCAGATACCGGTGCGGACAGAAGAAGAGTGGGGGGTGCTTTTTGCTGGATCTGCCTGACTCATTTCCCAAATCACGGTGCGACTATCAAGGAGTTCCTCAGGTGCTATGAGCAATCAAAGCGCGTGTGCACTCCTGTGTCCGAATTAAAAGGCAATTCTAATTAGGCATCCCAAATCTGTTCTGAGTTTTCACGTGGAGTTATGAAGCCTAGCAGTGCAATGTTGGTAGTCCACTT